CGCCCTGATCACGCGAATGTGTGTCTCTGAAACATTCCGGGACTCGCGCGAAGTGTAGGAACATCAAAGTGAAACATCTCACGCGTGTTGTGTTTTGCGCCCTCTCCCCGCGTAGGCGCATGGGAGGGTCAACAGTGAATTCCTTAGGTGCAATGAGTGGGTGACTTGGTTAGCCCTTTCTATACGTGTTGCCACTTGCGCCTTCCTCAGCATTCCAGCGCGTGCCTTCCTTGGGCGTCCTTGACTCAACTGATAACCTCGTTTTTTTTGGGGAAGTTGACGTGAGTCCTCGGTCTCAAGTCACTTTCATCTGATCTTACTTGGAGTACTTCTCCCAAGACTACTCTCTGGAGGGAAAAGTGAGAGAACCGCGACGCGCTTCTCCGTTCTGATATTGTTGTGCGGCACGTCGTGGACACATTCCCCCCGATCATGGTTGCAACCTTCTCGCCGCACCGGGACTCGGGCGGCACACTTCATCTACCACACTCGGGGATTCATCACGTCGATGCCAGTTCTGCCATCCGTCAACTGAGGCGCTCGCTGTCGCGTTCCCCCTCCAAAAGCTCCAACTTCTTCCTCAACACGCGTACTCAGTCCCCCTCCAAATCCACCTACATCTCCTCTCCGTTGTCACCATCACGACGCGCCCCTCAGAACAACTTTGTTCTCTTCCCATCTTCGCATCAGTCTCCTCTCGCCGTGCCTTACCCCCCTAGTGCGAAAATCTCCAGGCCGGCCATGCGTCGCCGCACGTCACCCCGCAGTCCGCCAAAGCGCGTTCTTAGCGTGTCAACAGACGGCGGCAACGCGACTCCAACTCAACCGATATTGATGCCTGGCGAGGAAAATGCTCTGACGCTCAACGATCTCGTGCCAGAAAGCACCACCCCAGACAGTCCTTGCTTTATCAACACTCCCTCTGCTCCTCATGGGGAAACGACATTTGCGCCGCGATCAACGCTGTCGCGTATTGAGAAGCGACGAAGCGGGACATTTGGTGCCATCGCGACTGGCAGTCCTTTAAAGCGCAGCGACGGAATCATGAACTTGGACCAGGCATCGCGAGGCAGCCCCTCCGCGAAACGGCGCAGCGTGCACACTCCAACCTTCTCCACTGATTTCAGTATCTTCGATAACGACGATGACGCTGATGAGAACACCACTCCATGTGGATCTCCAGGAAATGATATTCCATCGTTCCCCACGCCAGTCCAACCCCACAGTCCATTCGCAACAATTCCCAAGCGCTCATCTTCTCTGCGACGCTCCACCCTACAGCAACGGGGCGAACGTCCTCTCTTTGGACGACCCAGGGCATTGGGTGATTCACCTGAAGCATCTCCAGCTGGTACGCCATTGACTGTTAGGCCACGCAACTCTTTTGATAGCAGCCTGTTCCAGCCAGGCAGCGAGAACATTTTCTCCCCCCGGCCGCCAGCCAGCCCCCTCTTCGCACCTAACCCTCCCGTCAATACTACCACTGCTCAACCATCTCGGCCTGCCGCTCATCCTCTGTCTCGCACTATCACCCAGTCCTCTTCGGGGTCAAGTCTCGATGATTCTCCTACGCATGAACCCGTTCACAACCCTCGTCCAATGTTCAATTTCTCTAAATCTCTTCCCGCTGGGGCTACTCGTCCAGCTCCCGTGCGCCGGATTACGCGAGAGGATTCATCAGAGAACTTTGCCACCCCCGAGAACTACAAGCTAGTCAAGCCGCTACCAGCGGCATTCATGTCAACCGGTCTTATCTCTAAAAAGAACCGCAATGCTGAGGAGAATGGCCCTGGATTTAACAAGAGTATGCCCGATACACCATGCAAGCGACCTGTCAACCTGTTCGCAGCTGGCCCGAATCCGACAGACCGACTCTTCGATAAGTCACGTCTGGTTCATCAGTCAGATTCTGTCTCCGCTTCGCCATTCAACCCTCCCACTACCTCGCGTCCCAAAGCGGGACCCTTCGCTCGCGGCATGGGCATTTTTGGCAACAATTTCAACCGCCCCGAGGCCTCGCGCCGGGGAAGCTTCGTCAGCATCGATGGCGACGATCTTGTGGCTCAATCGCCCTCTTCCCGACATGACAGCCAACCTCTAAACGACCCCGACTTCCCTCCTACTCCCACCAAGCAACCATTCCTGCCATCTCGCACCTATCCTCCCACCACCAACCAAATTCCGTCCTTAGAACGATTGTCTGAGACTGCCAGTCCGCTACGCGAGAAGTTCCTACAGGCATCGCCTCACACTCCTCGTGACCAGTTCTTCCCTCCTGACCCCAGCGGCTTATCGATCTCTGTGCCAAACGACCAGTCTGTTCATCTAGAGCACGAACTCCCTGCAACACCTACTGGCCCGCGCGACTCTTGGTCATCACTCAGACGTCCCAGTCTGCAAATCAGCGGCTATCATGCCCCGGATGTGGACTCGAGTCTAAGTTCCCGCTTTGACAGCGTCGAGCTTATCGGCACCGGTGAGTTTTCTCAGGTGTATCGCGTTGCAAAGCCTCACGATGCCTCTTTCCCTTCTGTCTTCTCTCTTCCGTCAAGCGAGCCCAAGTCGCCGAGCTCTATGTTACATCAGGTATGGGCTGTCAAGAAGAGCAAGCAGCCATACCTCGGATTGAAGGACCGTGAACGTCGTATCCGCGAGGTGGACGTTCTTAAGACATTAACCAACTGTGATCATGTCGTTTCCTTCATGGACAGCTGGGAAAACAATGGTCATCTCTACATTCAAACAGAGTTCTGTGAGGAGGGCAGTCTGGATGGTTTCTTGGCCCAAGCCGGACTCAAGGCTCGACTTGATGACTTCCGTATTTGGAAGATTCTACTTGAGTTGTCACTGGGGCTGAAGCAGATCCATGACGAGGGTTTCATTCACCTTGACTTGAAGCCTGCCAACATTCTGGTCACCTTTGAAGGTACCTTGAAGATTGGCGACTTTGGGATGGCCGCACGTTGGCCTGCAGAGGAGGGCATCGAGGGTGAAGGCGACCGCGAGTACATTGGACCCGAAATCCTTATGGGCCATTTCGACAAACCCGCCGACATCTTCTCCCTTGGTCTCATCATGTTTGAGATCGCCGGAAACGTTGAACTCCCAGACAACGGAGTATCCTGGCAAAAGCTCCGAAATGGTGATATCAGTGATGTCCCCAGCCTGACTTGGAGCACGGAGACTACCAGTATCTTCCGTGATGCAACTGGCAACCCTATCTCGGATGGATCCTCCTTCGAGGAGCTTTGTACCTCGGATCTTGGTGACCACGGATTTGACGACGATTTTCTGACAAGTCGCCAACTAAACCAGCCCAAACCACAGCGAATTGCACGCAGTGGTGAGCTAGTCGATCCGCCCAGTTTCATGGTTGATGCCAACCACCCACAGGCCTTGGATGGAATCGTCCGCTGGATGATCACCCCCGAGCCTCAGCACCGTCCTACGGCCGACCAAATCCTGGAGACCTACGGAGTGCAATTTATTAACCAACGACGCCGCGCAGGCGCCACCGTCTTCGAGGGTAACTGGGGCCCCGCTGACGAGATCTTGGCCGAAGATGCCGAAATGATCGATGTGTAATTTATCTCCCTTACAACCATTGTGCATATGGAGGTGTTCCATGCTTTATTCCCCGTTCTTTGTTTCCTTTGTCACCTCGTTTTTCGGCGTTCGATCACACACTCGGAGCATTTGTTTCTTTCTATCTTTGATGCCATGTTTTCACGTCACGACTTTATCCCCTCCTACCCCAGGCTTCACGGGCGAAGCTCTGGGGGTTTTCTCATTTTATGGGCTGGACCTTGGACCTTTTCTGATCCTTGTATATGAATTGGGTCTAGCGGCCCTACCTGGGGCAGTTTGCACGAAAGTCATGACGCGGTGGAGTTTGAAGGGTCTTTACCCCGGAATTTTCTTTTTCAGCGTTGGAGTACTTTCTCCATTCGATTGACGAATGATTTTCTTTTTTTCCCTTTTGTACGATTCATAACTAGCATTACAAGATGCCAGAAAATGTACCAACAATCACAAGGTGCTTACGGCTCACTCTGGGGATGGGGAGGTCTTCTTTGACTGTTCCGATCTCTGTCGTATTCCTTCCACTTGTCTTGTACTTCTCCTTCCTTGGCCATGGCACATCAGCCACTGACGATTCTTTGGGTTGATCTTGATCTGGTGTTGATCTGGTACGGATCAGATATCATCCTGGTGGACTTGGAAACATCACTGCCATCTTTGTTTTGCTTTTTATCTCCTTTGCTTTTTTAATGACCCTGACGACCCTTAGCCTGTCTGAGCGTGGTCTCTTCTAGTTTAGTCTGTTTGGTTGGCTACCTTCAAATGTCTGTATAGCTTGTGGAATTATGAACTGAAATGACCTCTTACGTCTAAGTATGCTTTACTCCTATTATAAGTTGCAGCTACTTGAGAAGAGTATGTACTTAGGTATGTTTGTTGTTTAAACCCTGTTGATAGGATTTTGGAAGTATGTTTCGGTCTTATGCTTCAATATCAGCATTGACATTGAACATACATATTTTGATCTGGATATATCTGAGTATCTCTTTGTGCTAATTTTTATGTATGAATAGGTAGCTAAGATAGTTGCAGTGATAGTAGTGATAATATTCTAGATTTCTGATGTATGAGTAAATGTTGTAAAGTTGGCGTAAAAGCTGAAGGATAAACTGTTTCGTAGTCGAAATATATTTCCGGGGCGGATCGCCACAGATTTTCTTGGCGGCCGCAGACTTCTCCCAAATCGAACTGCCTCATAACTTCATTAAAATAACCTTCCGTTTTATCCCATTCCGCATCCTCACTGCAAGCCCCGAGCTTGGTCTATCGCGTTAATACGTGGTCTGCATCATGCGCCCCTGCGCCTAAGCCGCATTGACGACACCACACCGTACCTGTACCTAACACAACCCAGCTCCCCGCCGGAGCCAAGCTATTTTAATTTGCTACAAAAAGACCCGAAGACGAGATCGCACATCATGGACAACAAAACCTTTGTCTCAGACTCCCTTATCCGTCTGACTGGCGCGTCTGACCCGACCGTCATCGATTTCGTCCTCGCGACCGCCAGCTCGTCGAAGTCGCCTTCCTCCCTCCAAGACACACTGATATCCTTCCTCGACAGCCCGGAAACCAGCTCGACTGACATCGGTGCATTTGCTCGAGAGCTTCATGGCCGCCTGGGCAAGGGCGCACAGCCCAGCGCATCGTCCTCCAAGCCTGCAGCTTCAAAGGAATCCTCGAAAAAGAAGTACCGTTTATTGGATATGGGCGAGGATCAACCAGACCCGGCCGCTTCTCTAGGACCTACAAACGTCGAGGCAGATCGGGAGCGACGGAGAAGACGGGACAATGACCATGAGAGGAGCAGAGAGAAGCGAGACTCCGAAAGGAATCGCGCAGCCAAGGACGATAGCCGGAAGCGAGATCGAAGTCGAGATGCAGAGAGTCGTGACCGGCCGCGCACGAAGAAACTGCGTAAGAAGGACTCCGATGACTTTGAGGACCGATGGGGTGACGAGGAGATCCCGGAAGACGAGATGTACCCCGAAGAGGTGTTCGAGGAATCTGCCCCGAAGCGCACGAGACTCGACGATGGCTTTGCTTCCCCTCGTTCCGCCTCTCCTGCAGACGATGTCGATCCTCGGACTCAGGAAGAGATCGATCGCCAACGAGACCTCCGTGAACGAGACGAGTTCGCGAAACGATTGGCCAATAAGGATGACAGCAAAACGAAAAAGATTGTTGAGGATCGTACGCGCGACGGCGAGGCTGCACGTCGGCGTGCCCTGGGCGATGATGCTAGAGCGCGGGCTGAGATGATGCCCGATCTGCGCGAGAGATCTCGACAGGAATACTTGAAGAAGCGTGAAACCGAGCGATTGGCGCTACTACGACGACAGGTTGTGGAGGAAGCCGCGGAGTTGCGCGAGAACCCGAATCTCTCGTAGGGAGAAGGAGGAGTTTGCGCGCAATCGCGAGGTTCTTCGTATCGCCGAGGAACGGCTCCGGATCGACGACCACCGCGATGGATACATGATGCCGGACGACTACATTACGGAGAAGGGCAAGATTGACCGAAAGAAGAAAGAGGATGCTCTGTACAAGCGGTACGTTGAGCGCGATGAACTAGGTCAGGAGCGGCATGTCACCGAGCACGAGGAATGGGAGTTGGAGCAGTCGGCGAAGGCCAAAGCACAGATTAAGAAGGCCGAGTTTGTTGATGAGGGAGACTATGAGTACGTCTTCGACGATTCGCAGCAGATCAACTTTGTCATGGATGCGAAACTCGAGGGCACGCAGAAGCCAATGACAAAGGAACAGCTGCGGTTCAAGGAACAAGTCGACGAAGCAGAGAAGAAGGCTTTGTCGATGGAGGAAACCCGCAAGAGTCTGCCTATCTACCAGTTCCGCGATCAGATCATCCAGGCAGTCCAGGACCACCAGGTTCTGATCATTGTTGGTGAAACGGGTTCCGGAAAGACAACTCAGATCCCGCAGTATCTCCACGAGGCCGGATATACCAAGGATGGGTTGAAGATTGGCTGTACGCAACCACGTCGAGTGGCCGCCATGAGTGTGGCAGCTCGTGTGGCCGAGGAAATGGGCACGAAGATTGGAAATGAGGTCGGATATGCTATTCGATTCGAGGATAATACGAGCGACAAGACTATCCTGAAGTATATGACTGATGGAATGTTGTTGCGAGAACTGTTGACAGAGCCGGACCTGAGCCAATACTCCGCGCTCATGATTGACGAGGCCCACGAACGGACTGTACCTACAGATATTGCTTGTGGTCTTCTCAAGGATATCGCCAAGGCACGGCCTGACCTGAAGCTGCTGATTTCCTCGGCAACGATGGACGCCCAGAAATTCCAAAAGTACTTCGATGATGCGCCTATTTTCAACATCCCCGGTCGTCGATACCCAGTTGACGTACACTACACTTCACAACCGGAAGCCAATTACCTGGCTGCGGCCATCACTACGGTGTTCCAAATCCACGTCACCCAAGGCCCGGGAGACATCCTTGTGTTCCTGACGGGTCAAGAGGAAATCGAGGCCGCCGAACAAAGTTTACAAGAAACGGCTCGAAAACTGGGGAGCAAAATACCCGAGATGATCATTGCTCCTATCTACGCCAACCTGCCATCAGAGCTACAGACTAAGATTTTCGAGCCTACTCCACCCAAGGCGCGGAAGGTGGTGCTTGCCACTAACATCGCCGAGACCAGTTTGACCATCGATGGTATTGTCTACGTGATTGACCCTGGCTTCGTGAAGGAGAACGTATTCAACCCACGCACAGGCATGGAGAGTTTGGTGGTCACACCCTGTTCGCGGGCCTCGGCCAACCAGCGTGCCGGTCGTGCTGGACGTGTTGGACCCGGCAAATGCTTCCGTCTCTACACCAAGTGGGCGTACTACAACGAACTGGAGGAGAACACCACCCCAGAGATCCAACGTACCAATTTGAACGGAGTGATTCTCATGCTCAAGTCACTGGGTATTGATCAACTGCTCGATTTCGACTTCATGGACCCGCCGCCTGCTGAGACAATCATCCGGGCACTGGAAATGCTGTACGCCCTTGGAGCACTCAACGACCGAGGCGATCTGACTAAGGTTGGTCGCCAGATGGCCGAGTTCCCGACGGACCCAATGCTCGCCAAGGCGATCCTTGCATCCGACAAGTACGGGTGCGTGGAAGAGGTACTCTCAATCATCTCAATGCTGGGCGAATCCAGCGCGCTCTTCTTCCGACCTAAGGATAAGAAGATCCACGCCGACAGCGCACGCAACCGCTTTACCATTAAAGAGGGCGGTGACCACCTTACTCTCCTGAACATCTGGAACCAGTGGGTGGATTCAGACTTCAGCTTCATCTGGGCCAAAGAAAACTTCCTCCAGCAGCGCAGTCTGACACGAGCACGCGACGTGCGCGATCAGTTGGCGAAACTGTGTGACCGTGTCGAAGTGACCGTCAGCACCTGCGGCTCCAACAACATCGTGCCCATTCAGAAGGCCATCACAGCCGGCTTCTTCCCCAACGCAGCACGGCTCCAGCGCGGCGGTGATAGTTACCGGACTATCAAGAATGGACAGTCGGTGTACTTGCACCCATCTAGCACACTGATGGAGGTGAACCCACGCTGGGTGATTTACTTTGAGCTGGTGCTTACCAGTAAGGAGTATATGCGCAGTAATATGCCGTTACAAGCAGAGTGGCTGGTTGAGGTTGCGCCGCATTATTATAAGAAGAAGGACTTGGAAAGTTTGGGGCTGGAGAAGAAGACGACCAAGGGACAAGGAGCTGCTGGTGAGAAGAGCCGAGAGTAAATGTAGGTTGAGTCTACGCTCTGGCCTTGCAGTGGTCTGTATTCTTGAAATATCGTATTTATGTAGCAATCTCTTGTGATTAACAATATCCCAAGCCTTAGCCAATAACTGGTTAGAGCAATATAGCATAGGACAAAGACTAAGCGAGAAAGTAAAAGACTCAATCCGAAAGTCCATTGAGTGTCTCATAAGACAGAAAGATGTCATGCCTGGAACGGTGAAACCAGAGGGACTCCATCGATGCTAGTTTTATAATAGTAAGAGCAAGCGTACTCTGAAGACAGTGGCATACGTCGAGCCACCAACCACCCCCGAGAACATGATACATGCAAGTCACAACCTTTGACTTCTGACTGCAGTCATGTTTGATGATTTACCCTCTGAAATACTCCATCTAGTTGCCCGCGATCTCCGCAGCGAAGATCTCAATCACCTGGCCACCGTACGGCTCACACTATGTGTTGGATATGTTGCAAAAGGCTGCTCTTGAGGAGGAACCAATATTCCCTTATCTCGAGGAAGCCTTTGGAGTTTGGGGCAATTCAAAGGGCACATTCCCATCCTGTTGGAATTCAGAGAACGCATTCCCATCCCATTAAACGCAACCATTTTCCAAGTTCCCGTCCATGCGCGAAGTGTGCTGCTACATGATGACAAAGTATGACAATGGCGATTCTTCCGAATCTGAGAAATGAGACACCCTCTCGCCACAATGCTCGAATATAACCGACATCGACCTCCAAGAATGCAATTCTGTGGAGGGGATGCGTGAATGGGTTCAGGCCCGCAAAGCACTGAAATCATTCCGGTTTATCCATGGTTCACGAATAGTCTCCGACGATGACTTTCAGCCACGGAAACTCTACCAATCGCTTTCGCTCCATAAGTCGACGTTGGAGTGTACCTGGGTTGAGGCTCACGATGGCACCATCCATCTGGATATCGAGGACGAATGGATGGGGCATTTCGCTGATTTCACTGCTTTGGAGCTCATTTGCACTTCCTTACCCAATCTTGTGGGCCTTGCTGAGCACAATCTACTCGTGCGAAATCTTCGGCATGTTCTTCCTTCCTCGTTGGAGACATTATGTACGTCTGCCAGGGAGGACGAAAGCTTTGATGGAGCTATAGACCAGTTGGGGGAATTAGCTGCCTCGGAGAGCTTCCCAAAATTGGCTGCGATACTTATCGAATACTACCCGCTCAGGATGCCAGAGAATGTTGCCAGGCTTAAATGGTTGAAGCTGAGGTGTCAAGAAGCTAGTATTCTGTGTCTTGTTCGTAGCTCAAGAGCGTTTACACATGGACTTAAGGAGAGGATGGGATTAATTTGGCCCTGTAATGAGGGTAACATGCTTAGAAGACATACGTAAGAAATATCCAAGAAATGAGGCATTACTTGCTGATATCAAGAGACAATCGAAGTATGAAGTATAGATATCTGCCTCAGGCACCCACCAATCACATCCCACCTAATTCCAACCGCGGCAAACAACTCAACCTCGGTTTCTCCGCTTTCTCCCCAGACTCCGGATTTTATACGTCACTCCATTTCTTTCTCTTCTTTCTCTCTCTTCACACTATCCAACATGTCTCAATCATTCACCCCCGCCGACGTTGCCTCCCACAACTCTGCCGAGAAGGGCCTCTACATCATCGTCGATAGCAACGTCTACGATGTAACCAACTTCATCGACGAGCACCCCGGCGGCGCGAAGATCCTCAAGCGCGTAGCGGGCAAGGATGCCTCAAAGCAGTTCTGGAAGGTTAGTTATATACAACCTCCCTCGGCACTATCCTCTTTGTTCTTGTTGTCCTCCTTGCTTTGTTCATGTTCTCGCTCTCGGATCGGCAATCGACCGAGTCGTCGGCTATTGAAACCAAACATATACTAACACGCACCGTTAATAGTATCACAACGAATCCGTGTTGAAGAAGTACTCGCCCAAGCTGAAGATCGGCGAGGTCAAGGAAGCCGCGAAGCTGTGAATATCATTTTGGAAATACTATACAATGTGCAATATGGAAATAGATGATGGGGTTGGGGGCTGGGGGCATCAACATCGGCCCACCGGATTACAGTTGTGCCCGCATACGCTCTGACCCTGGTGGCAAGCCAGACTTTCTGTATTTACTCTGCTAGCGAAATATACCCGCGATTTCGAGGTTTCATATATGCGATGAACACATATACATTATGCTAATGTGTCTGGGAAATAGATCCCAGGATCCAGTAAATGGATGAGATGCCAACAAGAACAAGAACGCCTTTCTTTCCCCCGCTGCACGAGGATTGGTATCCGATCAAATCAAAATGGTATCAACTCGAAAGTGACAAATGGTAAAAGGCCGACGATAAATGGCGAAAGATGCAGAATGACAAGTATGAGGTAGATGACAAGAAAAAAAAAAAAAAAAAAAAAAAGAAATGAAACCTATGTGGCAGCGACAAAACAGGGTGTAATGTACGTATGTCCAGCCACGGTGTACAAGACACAGATAGGCCGCAGAGAGAAGATGTGGCGATCGACCTGCGCCAACAATAGAATTTTTGCAAAGAAGGAAAGAGAATAATAGACAATAGATATAAGGGAAAGAATAGGTATAAGGTAAAAATGAAGGAGAAAGAAAGAAGTTAAAGATTAGAATCCTCGAAATGGATCATCAGGCCGGAAAGACATCTCGCTGTCGTTGATAGAAGGCGTATCAAACTCGTAGCGACCCTGGCTCCACTGACTAGAAGTCTTGCGAACATGGCGCGGACGCTGGCGCGGGGGCGGACGATTAATCTGCTCAGCGTGGTGATCGATGAACGCCTCCATGCGGACAGTGCCCATATCGAACATGTTACTCTGACCCGCACTAGAGGCGCGGCCACTGGCCTCGGAGGTCCGGTGACTGACACTGCTGCGGCGGCTCCCGATGCCTGGTTGGAGACTCGGAGGTGGTATGGGCGGGAAATAGACTTCTGGGGAGCCAACTGTCGTCCCGCTATGCGAGGAAGGCATAGTGCCTTGACTGGAGAAGCTGCGGAGAGCGTGCAGGGCTGGAGGGCGGGGCGCGGTGTTACTGCGCTTGCGGTTGTGGGAGAAGCGGGGGACATGTGGTGCGTCGGCGGCGAGGTCGATGCTGCCGCCTGGGACTTCAGGGACTGGTGCAGGTGCGCTGGCGCTGTTGAAGGAGCGTTTGCCCTTTGGCACGGGGCGAGGCCGACCCTTTGCGACGCGAATAGAGTCACGGATTGGATTTCTGCGGAGCGTGGCTGTTGGTGGTGTTGGGGATCCTTCTTGTTGTGGGACGGGAGGTAGGGCTGCTAGTTCTTGTAGGCCTATGGATGAATGGCTTAGGAAAGATAGGGCTGTTAGCCAGACGTAGTGTCGTTCGATGGTCAGAGCTGTGAACTTGAGAGCTCGCTGGGGTGTTAGCACCAGGATGGATCGGTTGAACGGAGTCCCAGAGCCGGTGCCCTTTGGCATAGGGTTGTCGTCTTTGACATCTAGCACTGATTGGATGGTGACTGCGAAATCATATTAGCATGGTTCAATTCGACTGATCAGATATGGAAACTGACACTTTCGGCCACTCTTGCCCAGCAAGGCAGGCCCGCTGGTGGGCTGCTTGCTACTCCACATAATGGAGCCTTCATATGGTGCAAGCCAAACCCATCGCTTATGTCGCACCCCACTGCTCGTGATGTTCGCCGATACCTCATCGGGATTCTTGCCTTCCCAATTATCCTTGGTCTCGCCCATCCCGAAAGATTTGCGTCGACGGACATATTTGAACATCCATTCGCCCACCATGGTTTGGGCAATGGCATCAACAACACTGGTGGGCTGAACGCCACTAATGGAATCCTTCCTCTCATGGTCCTGTCGCTCATGGGTACTCCAATTATTAGACGGAATAGTACGATGAGAGGTGCGTCTGTGAGCTGCACGTCGCTCGCGGGGTGCCGTGATATCATCAAACGGCATCGGCGGAGGTCGATAGAGCGGACTGTCAGGAGCAAAGGAAGAAATTGATCGTGTTGGAGAAGATCTGTTGTCTGGCCGCTCTGAGAGCTCCGACTGTGACATTGCTGCCGCGGAACGGACTCGGCGGAGTGTTGGTCGCCGGGCGAGGGGTTGGCGACCACGATCCGAGAATTGCCTACCAGCTGAGCGAGTCGGACTTGGGGGCCCGTCGCTGCCGTTGAGCGGAACTTTGCGTGAGCTCAGGCGAACAGGAACGGGGAATGGTGGTGCAATGCTTGAGGTTACACTGCCGCTGTCGAGACTTGGCTCACTGGGACTCCGGGAGCGGATCTTCTGGTGCGCAGCAGTACCGCTAGAGATCATGGCCATCTTGCGCATTCCTGGTTGGCGACTACTAGAGGTGGTCGTGCTAGACCGCCGGGTGGCCCGCGAAGGCCCGCGGCTAATATCAGGCGGCCTTGAGTCGGGGTCTGATAGCTGCTCGTCAATTTCAGGGAGAGCCATGTCGTCCAAACTAGGTCTTGACTTCGCATTAACAAGCTTGCCGCGGCTGACAGTGTATGAAGCGAATGGACGATGGAGGAGCTCATCGTCAGTGAAGACGTCACGCTCAATATGATGACCTTCATCATCGCTGTTGTGGTCAAAGCCAGCAAAGAGACTACTAGATCGGAACGGTCGACGAATTCCGGACACAGCATCCTCCGAGAGCGGACCGTTGTCATTGTTATGGCCAGGGTAGGCTTGCACATGGTCTGACACGGGTGCCCTTGGAGGCTTCACTGGACGTTCTGTGGCCAAAGTCTTTTGGTTTCGCTTTGCGGACCGTGGTGGAATTGGGGGAACAGGGTATGCCTCGATGCTTGAATCCCGGGTTTCGGAGCGAGGCAGAATATCTGAAATGGCAGATGGAAGAAGGCTCGCTGGCAATTTGACCGGGCGTTGGTCGATACGAATTCCCTCGGTTTGAATGGAGACGGACCGGCTTTCAACAACTGGGCGGAAGTTGGCTTGACAAGACACATTCTTGGTTTGCGGTGGGAGAACGACACTGTTTCGAGGCGAAGGGGGCTCTGAACCAGGCGGGTGAATCGCGATCATTGGAATGTCCATCTGAGACGGAACATCATTCGGTGACAAGCTAGGACGCTTCTGGCTGGGGACATTTAGCTCTGGGACAGGATCGGTTTGGGTGGACGTCGATGCCATTTGCACCGGCTCTGGGGTATATTCGAGAGATTGTGGTGGCGAGTCTGCCACCTTGGGTGTCCAAGGAGGACTGGGTAGTTCGCCCATGGTTTGACAAGATGTAGAGACCATTTCAGCTGCGATGGTGAGCGTGGAACCATCCTTCATTGCAGGCATGTTCACACCATCGTCGTCGTTCGGGCCCGAGAGTGCTTCCATGGACTCAGGGACACCATTAACCTCGAACTTAGGAATCACTCTAGGAGAGGGCGGAGGCGAGTACTGAATGCCCATATCGCGGTATTCAACTGCGATCTCGTTCAACTTCTTAGGGCTACCGAGCTCCCGAGCACGGAGCTCTGTACCATTGGCAGAACTTGAGCTTTGAAGGGAAAGACCCAAAATCTTCCTTGCCTTTGAAGCCACAGTATGGGATGCCTGTGAGTGAACCGATGCTGGGCGTTCCTCAGGCAGAGCCTCGGGAGAGGCGGGCCTATCATCGTCATCAGATTGAACGAAATCGTCCTCTTCATCGAATGCCAATTCCTCTGCCAGATTCAAGCCTGAATCATTCTTGGCGCCACGCGCCATACTCATCACAGAGTACCGCACATTGTGATAATTGACCGCTTCTTCATCCTCGTCTGAGCTCACAGTGGTTACACTCGTGCGCCGGCGTCCCACGCTACCAGATGTGATGCTAGCTGTGTCGCTTCCTTTAATCTTATCTTGAGCAATTTCACCGTTCTCGCTCGGCTGACGATGGAGGGCTCCAGCTTCCTGGGCGGCTGCGACTTCATTCAAGACAGTCTTCAGTCGGCCCTCCACCACGTGGACCTTGTGCTCCAGAGCGCGGCGTTCACCGGCCCAGGCCTCTTGATCGCGCTCGTACAATGATTGTGTTCGCTCGACCTCCTCTTCCCGGCTCCGAGCTTTCTTCTGCGCCTGCTCGAGTTTCTTGCGAACATCGCTGATGTTCTCGACCGCTTCATCGCGCTCTCGGGCAAGCTCCGTGAGTGCAGATGATGTCCCACCTTCCAGCAGTTGAATTTGGTGTTTTAAAGATCGTCCATCCCGAGTCGCTTGCGACAAATTCGCGGTTAATGTTTCATTTTCCGTCCTCGACTGGTCCAAGCTCTCTTCCAATACATCAATTGCCTTGGTTTTGCTTTCTATATCGCGCCGCAATGAGAGGATTTCTGATACAAGAGATGCATGAAGAGTCGGTGTGATCCTGCGGGGATCAAAGGGCGACAATGTATCTTCAATGATATCATCATCATCACTTTGTCCGCTATGTCCGTCCGGCGAGAATGCGGGCGTTGGCAGGCCAGGTGGGGAGGAAGGTGGAGGGGAGGAACCTCGCCGGCGCAAAGAGGGTTTCGATCTCGATCTCGGTTTCGATATAGCGCGAGGTCGGGATGGTGCTGGAGAAGGGTGGGCCATGGAGGCCGAGGACTGCAAGTCTGTGGCCATCTCTTTCATGTACTGGCTTCAAACCATTACCCGGGCTTCGCGATTCCCTGTGCTAACCAGAGCACGTCACGCACCGGATCCCACAGACTACCGTAGTTCCACCATCCGAGTGATAAACGTCGGTGTTGCTCGTATGATATTGCCTCCACTCGATGTTCATTGACCAGTTCGCGAGTCTCGAAATGAGGGGAGTATTCAACGTGGGACCTTGTAGAACTCTGTGGAACGAACAGGTCAGCCACGGTTACAACGCAGATGCGGGATGCAAGCTTGAGCGTGATGAGCCAATGCCGAACATTGGGATATGCACGGAGGAGATAACACATACAATATCAAAGATCGAGAACAGATCTAACAGTAACCCGTCTAGCAGACGAGTAAGATTGGACTTCAGGATAGTGGCCGATCCCGGGGAGGATGAGGAAGAAATGAGATCAGTCCGAAAGATGCGGCCTTCGAGAAAGGCCGATCGCGATCACCGTACAGGAGGGGGCAGTGGTGAGCGCTCAACAGCCACTAAATTTACGAACACGGCAACGATCTGAGACGAGTCACGCCTACTTAGATTGATGACCTAGATCAGCCTTGCCGCATGTCGGAAGTGCGGATGCGAGGAGACAAGGACTGGACTTCGCGCCTCAGAAAAAAAAGACCAGGGATGTTCGTCAGGGGGTGACATGGGGAAGCAAGAAACCCACCCGATTAGCCACCGCGAATAGATGCTCCACTGCCAGCTGCCTAAGACACTAAACGCATAGTCGAAGCCCGGAACGTTAACTGCAATGCTCGAGGCCTGTTCGCGAGATAAAGATCATCGTAAACAATCTACAGGAAAGGGATGCACCACCAGTCATTGGGTGGAGAATGGAGCTGTCAGGGATCCGAACACGTTCTGAAAATTAGAACAAAGAAACAAAGAAAGGTTAAAAGATTAAAAAGGAGCCTTGTAATCCCGCGGTGCGAGTTATGTGGCTAAGTTGACGGGGTCCACTGAGATAGGAAAAGAAGTCGAGATCATGCCATTGCAGCAATTGCATCTCTTTTCTGGGTATGGGGAAGGTGTTCGTCTGAAGCCCGTCTGGATCAGGGCTCCACTGTGCGTCGGATGGGTCCCAACCGCGTAGCTCAAGCTCTGAAAAAGCTTCTGAGACGGCTGTGCAGGGAAGATCCCCCTATTCTGACGATGATACCAAGTGGACTGAAGGCGTCCAGTGTACAGCAAAGCAAAGAAAAAAGGGCGAATAAAATAAAAGAAAAGCCGTGGTTGTGGCCAATAGCATCAATTCCGAATCCTTCTTTTTGGGAGCGTGCATCGAATAAATTGGAGCCCGTACTGCATGGGGGAAAGCGGTGGCTAGCGTGTTTGAGAGTAATATTAACTGTTCTCTGTTGTTGGCCCTAGCGTATTTGCGCAGCTTGATCGGCGAAGGCAATTACATTCAAGAGCCTGTGGTCTGTGTTTCAGAATCCAGGTTGTATCTGACGAGTGCTTATTTGGACAAGCCTCTTTGTGATGCGTTTTTCCCTCGTCCAAACAATATACTGCAACAATTGTCCGGTCAAAACAATGCTGATCAGGGGTAGAGCTTCAGGCCCGAGGTCCCCACCGGAGCTTGGAAACAAAAGCACCCATATGGGCCGAAATGAGAACCGAACTCCCCCGTTTGACAAAGTCTGGGACGCGTTTTTGAGGCGGGATTTGGCCCCAGGTCTGAAGGTCTGGATCTCTGAAATGGCTGGCGTCCCTGTGTTGTCTCGCATTCTGCATTTCTCCATGCAAGTACCGGTCGCACCCTGCGGACGTTGAATGTGGCGACAACGTGAAAAGAAGCGGAATCGCCACAAGCCAATCACTGGCAATAAGCTCTGCTTGGTGTAATATCCGGTTTAGTCTGGCCTCATGGCCAGACTCTTTCTGTGCATGCGTCAAGCCCCCGAATTAGCCCCGTTGGAAATTGGACTAGCAACGGGGAAGACGCGAAGGAGGATGAGTCTCCACGAACCATTTGCCGTGTCTCCACACCTCAGGGGCAATCACGGTACTTTTGATTTGGACGTTGACAGGTCGCGTCGTGAGACTCATCTATTTTCTGTGCCGAGATTTTCTTTTTGACATGAGCGCTAGCGAGGCTAGGCTTGGAGGGTGGGGTTATCATTGCACACAGTAGTCCGTTGAATAAATTGATAGCAAGGCCGATAGTCAAGGATGCAACAGTCAATGGTGCAGCAGTCAATGGTCATTGAGAGATCAGTGACCAGAGGGAGGGAGGAAAAGAAGAGGGCGGAATGTTTGCCCTTCTGTCATCTGCGCACTGTACAATGTCTACATTCCACTCTCAACACGAGCCTCAATAAAGTTCAGACTTGTCATAATCAAGTCAACTCCCACAAAGCTGATCGTTTGAACAGAATCATTCCGCCAGAACTATCAGCCAGTTAGATCCGGAGGACCTCGGCGTGACTAAGCATATATCATGGACACAGGCACGAATGAATAGACTCATTTAACTCTCGTCTGGCTGGAATCTCAACTGAATATTCAGACGCAGTACGGCAGCCTACAGAATCTCCAAGGCGGGGGACATCGTGAATATCAACAGCCGTGCAGATCCATCCCCACAATGTCGACAACCCACCCACCCCAGATGCTGTTTTTCGATACATTCGGCACGGTAGTCGAGTGGCGCACATGCGTCACCCAAGAGCTGAACACAGCCGCCCTGCAGGCTGTGAAATCTCCCCGCAAGGGCCTCTCAGCCGACGTGCGGGACCGCGCAGCAGCCATGACCTCGCACGACTGGCTAGCATTTGCCGAACAATGGCGGCAGTCTTACAGCATTTTCACAGCGACATTTGATCCATCAACTGAGTTCGTGTCGGTCGATCAACATCACTTTAATGCTCTCCAAGACCTCCTTCAGAAACACAGCCTGGATGGTCTGTTCACCGATGAAGAGCGGTGGGAACTTGCTTTCAGCTGGCACCGACTTAGCCCATGGCCGGATAGTGTTCCTGGACTTGCACAGCTAAATAAGAAGTTCCAGACTTCTACGCTGTCGAACGGTAATGTCTCCTTGCTGCAGGATCTACAGCGACATGGCTCGTTGCCGTTCACGCATTTGGTCAGTTCGGAGAATTTTGGTGCTTATAAGCCATCGCCACTGGTTTATAATGGGGCTGCTAAGAAGTTCGGCTTGGAGTCTGGCCAGTGTGGGATGGTTGCGGCCCACCTTGGTGATCTGAAGGGGGCTAAGAGCTGTGGGCTTCAGACTATCTATGTTGAGCGTGAATTCGAGGAGGCTTGGTCACCCGAGGAGATTGCACAGGCCAAGGCTGAGGGGTGGGTTGATATGTGGATTAACCTAAAGTCTGACGGCTTTCTGGAAGTTGCTAGGCGATTTGGGATCGAATGAAGTTCATTCGTTTTAGTGGTGGCTAGATCCAGGATGGATCGATTGGGCTCGCGGGTCCATCACATCTCGTCCTTCGGATCAGCTCCACCACATTTCATGTACACATGTAGCCATAACGTTACTTACTAGATTCTATTGAATTATCTATGACTTACCTACGCAAGTAAACAAGCTGGGGTTGATCTGGTTGAATTTTGCTTGTTTTAATGTCTATGACGTCTCAACAATTAGCTTTATTGCATTTTCAATCAATTGGACCTACTCATTGACTGATATATGAGACAAAGCAACTAAATTCACTGCTCAACTCGGCTTGATATGAGCCAATCTTCACGATCTAGGTCATTTATATGGTCACATATAATGCCCTTGATAGTGGAAAGGCCGGCGGTAATTCACTTCGGCCATCTTCCAACGCCGAAATAGTGGTGAAACAAATACGTCCGGTAGATGCTCTAATTGGTCTATGTCGTATCTTCTGTTTGTTGTCGTGTCGTGTCTATACGTATAACGTTAAGTTGTAACTTTATAGTAAGGTACAGGGCACCCAAAATTCAGTGACATAGAATCTACTCACTACTACAAAGACAAAGCAGCGATGACAGCCCATAGGGGACTAGAGTCCTTCTAGCCTTATTACAACAACAACATTACAACCAAGACTCAAGCGAACGGGAGAATGATAGAGATTACCATACATACCAGAATGTATCATATGCTACACTCTCGACAGAAATAGCGCCTCGACGTTCCATATTTCGAGCTCACTGTTGAGTATCCCCAGGTACATAAGTGCATAAGTCAGTTAGACTGAGATTTTTAAATAAACGAATTCCGGACAGCCCGCGGTAAAGCCTGGTGGTGGTTGAAATTTGTTTTCTGTCCCTTCAACTTGTTTATTTTTCTACTTCCTTTGGAGGACCTCAGAGACTTCCTTGCGTGAGTCAGCTAGGAAATGGTAGGAACTGTTGCTCTGGTTTTAAGATCTTCTCTACCTGGGTATGGGAAATTGTGAAAGGTTATAACCTCAGGCCATGAGCCACTGTATATCTCACGGCCTTGCACAAATTTCATTAGCTTGCAATATTCTTAATTTAAAGGGATCCTCTGCGGGCCCATCATCCATTCGTTTGAACGCTACTACCTCTGCTGACTGCGTAGCATATTCTGTAAAGTGCCCTACAAGGCAAAGCCAAGCATTCCGTTTTTCGGTGTTTTTAACTCTCTTGCCAAGGGTCACCCACCTCATTAGCGAACCTAGCTTTGCACTACTGCGTGTAGAAGAGCAACTGAACATTTGACTAGTCAACGAACCAATTGAACAATGTATAACAGATAGCGCCATCTCTCATTCCGGAGTTCCGGTAATTCGCAAAGCTGGGGATTTCCAGATTAAAAAATTTGAGAGCCTGTTGTACTCTAAATCATGAAGCCGACAATGTCATCTTTGATAGGCACATATACAAAAAGGGACTCAACGTTTAGAGGACGAGGATAACTCCTATAATAAGTCAATATATGTACTGTAATCTCAATGAGAACTCACTGTTTACAGCTTGCTCTCGACCCATCGAGGAGCGCGCTTTTCAGCGAATGCTTGTACACCTTCATGCAGATTCTCTCCGTCGTTAAGAGCAGACTCCCAATTCTCGCTCAGTAGACGGCTAGCATTTTCTGCACTCCCATCCTCATAACCAGCAACAATCCCCGCGCGACTAATAATCACACTGTCGGGACTATTGTTAACAATGCTCGCCGCGAGCTCCAGGGCCGCTTTGACAACCGGACGCTCCAACATCGTGCAGTCGACTGCAGCATCTTCCGTGATGACATTGATCATGCCCCACTCCTTTGCCTCCGTAGCTGTAATACTCTTCCCCGTCAAAGCCAGTTCAGTAGCCCTCGGCCGGCCGATTGTTCGCGCCAATCTAGGTAGCGAGCCAGCCATTGCAACTACACCTCGCTTGGCTTCCGGAAGGCCAAAGAGCGCACCTTTTGCAGCAATGACGAGATCCAAATTTGCGACGATTTCCATGCCTCCACCGAAAGCTAACCCATTAATTGCACCAATGACAGGTTTTTTGCCGTGACGCCGGGAAAGAGCGCCGAACCCTGATCGCGGCATCATCGGCTGCTGCTCTAGTTCTCCACGGGCACGACGAGCGTTCAACTGGTTCCACTCTTTCAAGTCCATGCCGGCACAGAAAGCACGACCGGCGCCTGTGACGATTGCGCAGCGCAGTGATGGCTCACTGTCATACCAAGAGAAGAGAGATTCAAGTTCGTATTGGCCACTGCTGGTCATGGAGTTGAGGGCCTTGGGCCGATTGAGCACGACCAGCATGACATGTGGAGCAGGGAAAGACACAGCACCGTAGGTCTGTGGCGGTGGTTGCCGGTTGAATGAATGAGGTTGCATGGTTGTGTATGTGGACTTGTACCGAGAGATAGAGAGTACGACTTCTGCTAGCTGTGTTCCAAGCAGATGCGACTGTAGAAATATAGCAATCAGATCTGAGTATGAGAATTCGAAGCCTCGGATTATGAATACATGTACCTGACCAGCCAGCACGGCTTGTGGCCCCAATTACATGTGTGTGGGCGTATTATAAAAGTAATACGAGCGGCATTGGGTCCACACGAATTGAAACGCCGAGTGTCGATCTGATAAAGCTGATTTCAGCCCAGTGGGGACGGTGGAAATCTCGTACCATTACGAGGCGTATATCAACTATATGATAGTATGGAGGAAATCAAAACAAGTGCCATTGAATGTCTTAGACACCGAAAGAGAGAAACCAGATGCCAAGTATTTGATCTCGACAAGTTAAGCATCGACAAGCCTTTCGGGGAGACCTACGTAGCCTGTGGAACACCGCCAAGGGAAGCTTGGAGTGATCGGCATAGCGCATAATATTGTCCAGTACTCGTATTGAGCTCCATGTTCGTATCTCAGTTACGCAGTGGATTCCCATATCAGGGGCGAGTCCATCCACAGTAGAATATGGCCCCGTGGCACGGAGAAAGACGTCGAGGCTTCGGGAAAGACCCAATCATTTGCCCCCGAAACACACGGAGGAGTTGATGTCGAAGTCCCGAGACGTCAAATTCTCCTACCCAGCACGCGCGCACGCCCCTGTCTTACGCGGTCTCAACGTGCATGTCCGACCAGGTCAGTTCTGTGCGCTAGTCGGGCCATTAGGCGCTGGTAAATCTACAATCATCTCTCTAGCAGTGCGCTTCAATGTATCCATAGGCGCACGCCCAGCTACAGAGGTGTCCGACGAGGAGATTATCGAAGCCTGCAAAACTAGCCAATATCCACAATACCATCATCAACCTCCCACAGGGCTATAATACACCCTGCGGAGCGAATGAAAGCAAGCTATCGGGTGGTCAGAAGCAGCGACTTGCCATTGCACGAGCTCTTGTTCGCAAGCCGAGACTACTTATCCTCGATGAGCCTACTAGTGCCCTGGATGCGGAGTCCGAGAAACTCTTGCAGGAGGGGCTGGAGGTTGCGTCACGGGGTATTAGTGTTTTGGCTTTTGCACATAGGTTGCATACAATCCGCAAGGCTGATATCATTTCTCTTATTGAGGCTGGCTTGTACGTTGAGGCTGGTACTCATGAAGAGCTACTTACTCGTTCGGAGAGCTATCGCACCAATGTTCTCAGTCAGACATTTGGTGGCGATTGAGCTTGAAGCCCTTTCTTTTACATTTTTCATTTAGGATTTGCATATAGTATACTTTGTGCATAATAGTAGTATCACATTCACTTGCTGAAATAACCCAATTTTTCCCATCTTGTTTTTAAATAATAGTATGAACGACGCAGTATGGAGTATCAAGGGCCTTTTGCTCATATTGTTGACATCCACATTATCGACGAAGAAGCAAAGAAGCCACAACAAATAGATCAATTTTAAAGCTAGTGTAGACGCTATTCCACATTTCTATTATATCCAATTTTACAGACGAGGCCTAAAGCCCAACCCCGTACCCGCAATGTGCGGGCTGACCTGATTAAACGGACAAAGCTGGAAGAACCGCTCACGAGTACACTTAACCAAACTAGCACGCTTATGAGGCAAATCAATAAGCTGATCCTGATGCAAACCAAAAGTGTAATCATAAGTGAGCACCTTATCATTAGTGCTCATAGGCTCACCAACGATATTCTCCGTACGATGATCATCAAGGAAGCAGTAGTGGATCATACTGGGCCACCAAGCCATAACGCGATGGGGGCCACGGAACGCATCATTGCCGACAAGAGTGTGGCGGCCGCGATCGAAATTCCCGGAAGAGTAATGCGCACCCACGTTATCCTCCTTCGTCCAGAAGATCTCATAGTATGAGAATGACGTATCATTGAAATGACCCAGCACGGTCAACGTGTGCGGGTCTTCCTCCTGTAGGCGCAGATACTCGCGGTGCTCGTCCAGCGTTCCAGTCTCCTTCCAGCCCTGCGCGACACGCGGGTCGTTCTGCCAGGTGTGGAAGAGGTTGAGGTGGTCCGGGTTCCGGTAATCTAAGGCCACGAGGGAGAAGTGCTCATCCAAGAAGGGGATATAGCGACTGTACACCACAGAGCCGGGAGTCGGCTTTGGGTTACGACGCGGATGGCGTCTGTGCATGGTTTCTGTTGAGGTCATGGTCCAGTCGAGATGGGGGACTGCAGCGGCTGGGTTCCAGGATGGAAGCCAGATAGGTTGCGAGCCTAGCGGGGAGGCGCAGCCTTGCCAGAAGGCGCCGCGGAGAATGAGGACTTCATTGGGGGTTGGCTTGAAGGTAGTTGAGGTGCTGACGGGGCGCGGGTGGTCGATTGCAACCATGGATAGGAGCAGCGCGTGCGCCACGGCATTTGCGTGGGGGCCTTGGAGCTGAAGACGGAAGGTTTCGATATCTTCTTGTACTGTGAAGATGGTATAGAGGTGAAGCCAGATTTGGCCTACTGTGGGCGCTGTTTGGTTCTCCCAGTGCGCGATAGATGAGGGGCTTCTTTGCGCGCGTGCCCAGGCGGTATTGTTGGATGTGGGCGGGGCACTCTCTGACTTTACCTGGGTGGGCACCGTGAAGTAGAGCTGATCATTGTGCAAGGCCTGAGGGAATGGCTGCGCTTCCTGCGCATTGTCTGCCTTGAGCAATTGAAATGACTGGGTTTCGCAAACAGCTTTGCTGGAGGGAGCCACATTGTAAGTAGTCAGATAAGGATGAGGCAGGCGAATCTTGACCGAGGCCAATGCCTGGGAGGAGAATGTCATTTTGCAGAGCTATGGAGGGTGACAGGTTGTAATCAGATCAAAATGGGCCTGCAGTGACTTATACAAGATCAGATTAACGCTCGGCCGGTTTGAAGCACCACTTTCCTGGGTTCCGGAACACTCCGTGGGCCTTTTCCAGCCGATTTCGCAAGCTGCTCTCATTAGCAAATTGAATGCAGATGGAGCTGAAACCCGGAGGCTTGGTGTAGAAGGCAACTGGGGTGTCGATCGAATCAGCCGTAGCGGGATTGCGTACTGTCAGGCAAATATACAATCCTATTCGTATTCTATTGCAAGTTTGAGATACCGAAACCTTGTGAAAACGTGGGTCCCACCGAGTCTAAGTGGTATAGACTCGTCGATCACCCACCGAAACGGCTACTGTGCCTTGCGTCCAAACCTTGTTGACGAACTGGGCTGAAGTTTAAGCTTTCTTTTTGCTGGGCATTCCTATGAAGAAATCCATGCGTTCCTTGGTGAACTTGGCTAACTTAAGGGTTAACACTGTCTCTCTATACCATCAGGATCAACATAGCCTGTGGAGTTCACTACGCAACGTTGTGGAGGTGGGAGGCACACGGCGTCTCTTTAATACCCGAAGTGTTTCCGAAAGTTACCGACTTTGTCTGGTACCTTTCATATGGATGTATTTAATGTATAGTTATACCCGTATTAATCACATACCAAGACAAAAAGTATGGACGCCGATGATATGGCCTCACTCCTTCGAGGCTTAGTGGATCCTCAAAGCTGCAACCCTGGACATATGTGGAAATGAGGGAGAAAAACGGAGTCGGCTTTTCCAGGTGAGCACATTCCAAAAGGATGTGGGTTGTTCTGGAAGAGCCTAAGTTCCTTCCCAATGGCACCTGGATCGGCAAGGAGGTTTAATTATCAATCTCCGAGATCATCTCGGTGCCGGCGAATGGATTGATCGGCAATCTTGCTTCTGTGCAGAGTATTGGAGTTCGCATTCTACCTGGATGCATCAAAATGATCTTGCCGTCATGGTCGTCCCATTCTGTTCTCGCCGAAAGCAACAAAATGCGCCTGGCCGGGTTACCTCGGGTTGATGTCTTTTTTAAGAAAGACGCTCGGTCTTGCATTCGTGAGGTTGATTTTTTTTTTTTTTTTTGGATTTAGCAGATTCGATATGGTTGGCAGCCAAAATAAAAAAAACTCCCTAAGAGCACGATTCGATGCACTGCTTCGCCACCCTGAAGTGCTGTTCAGTACAACATGCTGTACTTGAAAAGGGGCATTCATTGCCATGGAGAGACTTAGCACTTCGGATTTGTCTTTAGCGAGACCATTATACGGACAGTCTTTGTTCCAAAGGGGCCAAGACCAGATACCAAATGTCCAAAGTGAAATCGCTAGACCAAAGTGTCAGCTCAATTTACAAGGCTATGTTAATTAATAATCATCGGACACGCAAGTCATAATAAAATGTAACGGATAAACCAGCGCCAGATTCAACAACCATACCATCCGATGCGTCCAACTTGACTGCCAAGGCTTCTTTGAATAACTTTTCGATCAGTACCTGGAAGGCAATCGCCACACGACGCTTAAGATCTAAGAGAGCTCCAGCCATTCACCAGATATTCAGCGGCATTCTTATTGCTCGTCCGTCAAGCATCTCTATGATGTTGAGTATTTTAGCAATAATTTGTCGCTAGCTCAGAAATGCCGCCTTGCCTATACCAAGCTTTTACACTTAGTAGACTTTCAATCAAACATAGAGCCAAGGTGACGAATTCGAGAAATGGTGCAACAATTCGTGGAAACTGTAACGCAGTGGTCCTATACATTTCAAGCCCTAATGCCAGCATAACCCGCCCGCCCTGAGCCGGTATCGGCACCCGCACGGCCTTATCAGATGCCGCCTTATCAGATCTGACGCCAATTGTCAAATCTTACCCCTTCACGCAACTCACACCTCACAATGCAAATCAAACAACTATCTCTGGCCCGGGGTCAGCCCGGAATCCTCCATCACTGCGTACACAACCTCCCTCCTCGAACATAACCCCGGATCAACTCCCTAGCTAACCGACCACACCCGACCAGACCGACACCCTCGTCGCATTCGAATACACACGCAGCCAAATCCGCAAACCACACACCTTAGTCTTTGTAGGAGGTCTAGGTGATAGCCTCGGCTCAGTCGACTACCTAAACGAAGTCGTCAATGCCCTCGACGCAACAGAATGGAGCATATTCAACCTAGGGCTCTCCTGCGCAGGCGGTGGTTGGGGAATGGGCCGACTAGGCAAAGACATCGACGAGCTGTCTCAATGCGTCTCATACGTCCGCGCGTATAAGGAGCCCCAATTCGGGCCCGGCAAGGTGGTGATCATGGGCCATTCGACGGGTAGTCAGGACGTGATGCATTACATTAACTGCCCCAACCCGCGGCCAGCACACCCCGTCTTCGATCGCGATTGGGAGCCTATTGTGCGGGCCCAGGTTGATGGCGCTATTATGCAAGCGCCTGTTTCCGATCGCGAGGGTATCTTGTGGGTTGTCAAGTGTGGTACTGAGCGTGATAGTCCAGTTAAGATGCGCGAGATTTATGATAAGGCTGTGGCGGATGCGCGTCGTGCGACCTATGAGGATCATGATTTGGTTGATACTCTTGTTCCACTGGTTGTGACATCGCGTATTGGATACCCGCCTTCTGCGCCGGTTAGCAGTCGTCGATTTTTGAGTCTGGCTAGTCCGGACAGTCCCGAGAATCCGTCGGAAGATGATTTGTTCAGTTCCGATTTGAGTGATGAGCAGTTCCGTGGGACTTTTGGTATGATTGGGGAGAGGGGCTTGTTGAAGCAGAAGATGCTCGTGCTGTACTCTGGGCGTGATCAGTCCGTACCTCCATGGGTGAACAAGGAAGCTCTGTTGAAGAGGTGGCAGGCTGCGGCTGATGGGAGTGGACGGCAGATCTGGGACACGAGGAGTATGGTTATTCCTGGTGCGTCGCATGCTTTGAGTGATAGTGACCAGGCGAAGCCGCGGCGGATCTTGGTCGAACAGGTGACGTCTTACCTGGATGATATCCAACGGGGGTGATTGTCAGCTGGAAGATTGTATCCTATGTTTTTTTGGCGTTCAAAAGCTATCCATCATTTGATCAGGGTGGGGTAAATATCCAAGAATATAACCAAAGCTGCATACAGTATGACACATGATTATGTATATCTAAGCGTAAAGTGACAGCAGCCCTGGAGACTTTCGGTTCATAGACTATCCAATCAAGGCCCTTAAAGGAGCTGGAAACTCCAGCCCGGTCAGATCAGCGATTCAAGTATCCCTTTCTGCAAGACCGGTCGATTAGGAGAATCGCGAGGAGACTATACCCCCACACAAAATTCATAGGGTTATTTGCCCCACTTATTCCTCCGTGGCAATCTCTTCGGTATTGTCGAAAACCATATAGAACCTGTGCCGCTCTCATTTGTAACTTTTCATGCAAAGAGAGAGAAAACGTCCATGGGGAGTGGTCAGCGGTGAGAGCCACACATAGTGATCAGATACGCAGTTTTAGTAGGAGAGCCGTTATACCGTGTGTACAAGAAGAAACGACAGGGTATAGAGAGGGCAACAGACAAGCAGTACAAGAAAAAACTTACTTTTGGACGTAGTGCTATCAGTTGTACCTCCGGTAGCATGAAAAAGATGTTTTACATATGAATGGGTAGATACCATTTCATAAGAACGAGGGAATTGGATGCATCTTTGAAGCAGGCTATGAGTGAGAAATATCTCTTGCTGATCCCGCACCCTTCCTTGGGTCTGGCCAAACCACCATTTTCAGTTTCTTATTATTCTAGAACAACTTCTAGGATGACGGTTGGCTTGTCATGAAAACCGTGCAACATCTTTATCTGTGTGAAAGAAGAGTAATTAGTGAAGTCCTAGGGCTTATTAAGCCAGACTAGATACATCAAAACTCACTTCCTACTCAACTGTCCCGTCCTGGAGGATGTCCATTCAGGACGTCCAGAGACTCATCAAATATGTCTCACATGCTCATGGCAAGATGGAGGTAGAATCAATTCCGAGGAAACTCTATACCACCAGCTTTAGACAAACTTGTGATTCTTGTCGCTTGTCGTTATATCTGAAAAGGCTTAATTGCTGCACGATACGGCGAGACTCCCAATCGTCCCGGATTTCTGCTGTTTCTTTTCATTGTTACGAGTTTCTTTCAAGGGTCGTCTATCGGATGTCCTGATGTCTTACGAAGGTTGAAGATCTTAATAGAAGATGATGGTGGTCCTTTTTTTTGATATCCAACCGTGTTGAAGTAGTGGAATGGAAGAATGTCAAGTAGACTTTTGTAGGTCTTTTGTGGTTTTATAGCACGATAGTGAGCCACGACTGATCTTGCGCCTTCTCAGTTCAATATATGATATGAAGATTAAGAGAGGCGTAAGAAGGACCAGGAGTCCACTTAACGAAAGAAGGCATCTAAACTTCTATGCACCAAAGACAAACAACGGAGGTCGGAACTCCTAGGCGTGCGAACCAAGCAAATGGTAACACCGAAACTTCTGTGGGCTACAATGAGGCCAAACCGAAGGATGAGGGAGCTCATCTCAGCCCAATACGGAGGCAATCCGAGTTTCCAAGTCTAACTGTTCAGCCATACTGTACAACGTAGGAAGTACCGCTTCATAACTTGGACAGATATAAATAAACACGCCTCGGATGAATACATATCTATGAATAGATACCGAAGCCTGGCAATGAAGCTGTCCAGAGTAACCGGGGTGCGCGGACAGCGAGAGCAAGGTAACGTGGAGAAGAGATTGAGGAAGAGATATCACTTTCGTACAGCAAATACTTCCTTTAATGTTGTGTTTAGCATAACATAGGCCAGGCTTTGCAGCAGTCTGACTGCATGATTACGGTGAAAGTCCCTGAATGATTCCCCTATATTAGAGCAGACAAACAAGATGTCAGTCATGAAAGTTGTGGAACATCCATATCAATATGTAAATCGACACTCTAGTCAATGATCTTCATAATGACGCCTGATGCTGCCTATCGTGCGAATGCACTGTTTATCGGGCTATGCTGCCTCAACATCCACTACGTCCCCTATTTTGAGATCTACACATAGATGCCTGGAGAATATTGTGAATTTTAGAAATTACATGTGACTACCTGTAGATCTAAACAACTAGAGTATCTGATCTCACTCAAGGAACTCGGCCGAAGTACTCCCTGTACGACCTATACGCGGAAGAAGAACAAGACTCCGGACGATCAACCGGCAAGCTAGACCATCACTAATAAGTTGTCTCATACAAGTAGCTTAAGCAAGCCCCAAACTATGCCTAAACCCCCTGACCCCACAAATAACGCTATCCATTATTGGGGCCACATGCTCACCTGACGTTTAAATCAATAGTGCAACGAAGATCCCATCAGCGATCCCAATGCAGGAAATTTGGGTAGACACATAGAGTATCAACTGGATCTATCAAACATTGAGATCGACATGTTTCTTTGTACTGTACGTGTAACTGCATGTGATCCAAAAATTTGGCGATATACCTACATGGAAACATTAACTTATCATACATTCCATACGAAGATCGAGTCACAACGAGAAATATTCCTGCCAAAAAAAAAAACCATCACGCGCTAATCTCAAACAGGCAGCTGTGTTATCAAGATCGATTTTGGGAACCGTCCCAGCCGAACACCTAGGGCGTGCAAGGCGCAGCGTCGTACGACGAACGTAGGACGCAAACAAAAGACCTATCAAGAGACGCAATTCAACGCGATTATCAAGGACAAGGGATGCCGTTACATCATACCCGTGGGACGGGATGCAAGACGATGCCGCCGCCAATGCAACACAATCTCGAGATTACATCCTAGACCAGGGCCAGGAGGAGGCCATAGTGGACCGTTCGACAGAGGCGCGTCTCCATCTAACGGTCAGGCGGGAGGATCCGCCACGAGCCCCCTGTCACTTTTCATATGCATCTACGGCCATCATTGGCGCGGCGTTCAAAGCTCCCCCGGCCCAGCCGTTACCCGGACCATTCCGTCCGCGCGAACAGGGGGATGAAACACCCTCAATATTATGCGGTCTGTACCTGTATCATTCTCTAGACCGGCAACCCGTCTCGACGCTCATCATTGCTTGCCCGAATATAATGTTACCCTTGAGGGCAGGATGCATATCACTGCATTTTGGGGGTCCGGGTCGGGTCGATAGTCCCCGGCGAGGCACGGTGAGTGCAGATCCAAAGCTGATTGGACTCAAGCGAATGAAATAGATTGAAAGAAGAGAAAAAGGAAAAAGAAAAGAAGAAAAGAAGCAGAAAATTCCCCGTCGGGACCCGTCCCGGAGCCCCCATGGGCTCAAAAAGGAACTGGGTGGCAGTTCTGCCCCCACTGGGCCACAGAACTGGGAACTGGAACGAATTCGCCCCGGCTGCTTTTGAGTTTGTCCATGGATGCCCAACCAGGGAGATTGGAAGTCCTGGGCTATAAAGTGCCTCATAAGCAAGGCTTACCAACAAGGTACCCACTTGCCCTTTCACTGAACACAGTACTTCCTCTTGGACAGATCCTTCGGGGACCGTTACCCGGCGCTTATAGACATGGGCATCGCGGACCGGGAACGCAAAGACCCCCATCCGCACCCGAGTAAAAGAACTAGAAAAGTGTAAAAGCGTGATAACGAGGTCCAGCCTGGCAATCTAACATTTCCTCTAAACCAAGTTGAGTCTGGCTCAAACCTTTAGACACGCGATAGTCATTCCAGAACGTGTGATAGTGTGCTGTGATATGGACGTGCATATATTTCGGGTTAGGGTCTTCGAGTATAGCATCCTGACTACTCCGTATATAGCATTTCATTTCAAAGACCACGAGGCTGTGGGGATATGGGGCGCCACCATCGACACTAACAGAATAATACTGCAGATGTATAGACTCCTGAAACAAGAGATGACACACTTTCCACGTGTGGACTGGGGTCCTACGAATTAGACTCAACCTAATCATTATTAGCGACTTTGTATTATACACAAAAGGGCTCGCTTAAGAGGAGGGGGGAGAGGGTTCCGTCCCACCCGATAGAGAGAGAGCTTTCAAGCTTCTCCACCGGGAGTGAAGGCAGGAAGGAAATGAGGCCAAGAAAAGCTCACAGTTCCGTGGATATCCACTGTGTCCTGTGCGTTGAGGGCCGGGCCTGCTTCTCTCCTTTTCCGTGTGGAGCTGTCCCTGTATGTAGAATACAGAAAGTCAGAAGTCGAAGGTAGAATGTAGAATGTAAATTGTTAGGTGATAAAGTAGAGCATAGAGATCGAGATAGACGTTAGAATAATATCGAATAGTATAGATAACATATCAGTAGGGGATAACAGTGTCATCACGCCGTGAAAAACGCACTAACTTCCTAAAGTGGATTCCCCCTGGTCAAAAGTGTATGACTTCATGGAGCTGTCACTTATGTTCCCCTAATTATAGGAGTTTTACCAGTCATTTCTGTCTGCCGGTCTCGTTTGTCTATATTTCGAGGTCTTACCCGAAACAGTTTCAGCGGGAAAAGAAATATAGTGGAAATCCGAGAGGCTAAACGGTAGGGGGTGAAGATTTCAAACCCCCGACAGGGATAGAATTGTAAATTCTAACTCCGTACTCGATTTGTTCAATTGCTCTTACTCTTTCTCTTACTTTATTCTTACTCTTACCTCTTACTTTCTTCTCTCACTTACTTTCCTTACTTCCCCCACCCACGGACCAGACTTCGCACACTCACTTTTCTCAATTGGCGTCGAAGCTCCTTTTTCGCCCCCCCGCCTGGAACGTGGGCCACTTCACCCCCTCTTCCTTTCCCCTCTTTTTCCCCCTTGGTATGTTCCAACATGTCGCTTGCGCTTCTGTCGCTGACTGTTTAGCTCTCTCTCGCCATGTCTGGGAAAATGACGCTGTACAAGCTGGTGGTGTTGGGTGATGGAGGTGTTGGAAAGACCGCCCTTACCATTCAGGTTGGTTTACCCGACTCGGGACACGAGATCAAGACGCTAAATACCACCCCCCAG